ACAGCTACACAATGCTAAAAATGCTATACCACACCCAGAGCTGACCTGGAATTTAGTGACACACCTGCTGATATTCTCTAACCTGCAGCCATCCCTGTAGATACCAGCACAGGAAATCTGAAATACTACTCACTAGTACTTATTTGCATCTCATTCATGCCATGTGAGCTACTGAAGAGTGCCACAAAGGAGTTATTAGTGGAGGGAGACTTCTTGTGCCAGGAGCTGATGGCTGGTAGGTTAGAGGAGAAAAGCAGCACTGCCACTAAATCATTTAGTTCAGTTTTGGCCACCAGTTCACAAAAAGGATGTTGTAGAATTTGAGAGAGTGCAACGAAGGGCAAATAAACTAATGAGAAGCATGAAGGTACTGAGCTATGAGGAAAGATCAGCTGAACTGAATTTGTCCTCCCTTGAGAAGAGGCGATTAAGAGGTATAGGATCACCACACATAAGTACGTGTCCATATAGTGAACTTGGTGCAAAGTTGTTCACTTTAAGTTCATTGCAAAGGACATGGGGCACTCTTTACATATGGTGGAACAAGAGGTTTATCCTCCACATACAGAACAGCTTCTTTAAAGAGCTATGGAAATGTGGAGTAGGCTAGCTTAGGAACTAGTTCTAGCCAGATCAGTTAATTTTTTTTAAAAACAATATAGAAAATGGATGCATTTCTAAATACGCAGACTATAGCTGTATATTAATATTTTGTAAGTAATAACACCATTGACTGTTGATCCAAGGAATATCTGATTGCCTGGATCAGTAAGAATTTTTTTTTCCTTGTTGAAGCAAATGGAACAATGCCTCATGAAGGGTATTTTTTGGCTTTCTCTGGACCAACTGTTGTCATACTAATCGAGGCTTCAGTACCCAGTAAGTCAGTAAACAGGAACCGATACAATCCCCATATCTTAGTGCAACTAATGTAATTAAAACAGGTCTTAAGTGCAAAGCAGTTTAAGAACCTTCTAATAAGTTCCTCCTAGTGGTCATCTGCCAGTCCGGGAGACTTTGGAGCGGCAGCTGTGCTGCACCCAGTACAGTAAGGATCTGTCTGGAGTGAAGTCACCTGAGTATAAGACTTTGTGGGGGCTGGGAAGGGGTGTCAATTAAAGTTCAAATGCATTAAAAGCACAGTTCTGTTTTAAGCTCTGGGTTTCTAGTAAACCCAGCAATCTTGTTTTACATTTTTCAGCACCAAACACATTGCTGGCATTCTCCCAACAAGAGAAAGATTCATCAATGAATATGAACAAAGTAAATTCTTCTAGCACTCCGTTCAGCTCAATACACATTTTGCTACTAGAGCATCAGAAAGCCCCATTCTAATGCTGAGGTGTTCGCAACCTTACCGGAAAGGTCTGGGAGTCCTTGAATAGTCACTGTTTAATGAGCACTTGTACAGATGAGCTTGTAGTCTAAATATTTTTTTTCTCCCCAAAACACACCACTTAGTGAAAATGATAGCATTAGTAAAGCGATAAGAGAGTAAAACACCAGACCCGCAGCCATAAATAATTACAAGATAATTATTTGTTGCCTGTTCCAGTCTTGGCTATGTACCCTTAATAATCTTTCATAGGGGTATTTCTTTCAAATAAAATCTGGAATGTGCCTGGTCAAAAAAGTCAAACGGCTAAGTAATTTTCTGTTGGCTGCCCTGTAAAAAAGGATTACTGGCAAGAAAATGTCAATTTGTTAGCAAGGATATTTTCCTTCAATAAAGCCTTTCTAAACAGGATACTCCTTAAAGTATAACCAACGATTTAAACTAGCACTCAGTACTAAATACTTTATATCAAAAAAAAATTTTTGGTGTTCAAAGGAGACAATCGCACAATTTTCAAATAAATGGCAGACATATTTAACCCCTTTCCTAGCCTACCAAAGTGCATCTACATAATCATAAAGAGTTTTATAAAGTGAAGGTTAAACCGCAAAATTGGTGTTGCAGCACTTTTACATAAGGTTTCAGCTTTATGCTAGATTGGTACTATCTCCGGAGAATAATGTTAATATTAATTATGAAAAGGGTAGACTGAAAAGTTGTTTGGTTAGCCCTTCATTAGATCTCTGTAGTGCCGCAGCCAGAACTGTGACCATACTTTCGCAAAAGGGGGGTTGAACGGTCATTAACCCCTTAAAGACAAAGGCCTTTTTTTCATTTTTTGTTTACATTTTATAATCCACATTTTAGGCCTGAAAATTACTTAAAACCCCCAAACATTATATAATTCCTGAAAGCCAAGACCCTATAGAATAAAATGGTGGCAGTTGCAAATTTTTATGTTGCACGACTTTAGCGCACCTTATTATCAAACACCAACATCTAGTTAAAAATGCACAATGAAAGTTAAATTTAGTGCCCCAAAACACTATATAAAACCATTTTTTCTCAAATTTAAAAGATGAGGTTATAACGAGTAAATAGATAGCCAACATGCCCAGGTTAAAAATTGTGTGCATCCACGAAACTGCTACAGAATTCAGTACCCCAAAAAGTCCACACACAATGCTTTAAAAGCCGCTACAGGTCATCAGTTTAGAGATATGCATACATATTGGTCCTAGCATTATTGCTCTCCCTCTGGCGTGTGCGGAGATATCCAACATGTGTAGCGCAATCGTCATTTTTGTAGGTAGGCGCACCCGACGTGTGTTTACGTGGCGACGAGCGGGCTCGCGGGGGGACTTTAAAAAAAATTATTATTATTTTTACATTTAATTTATTTACTATTATTTTGAAAACTGTTTTTTTTTTAAACTTTACTTTAATTGCTATCACACAGGAGGGCTTACAAGCCCCCCATGTGATAGCATATTGGTGGTGACAGATCCTCTTTAAGGTGATACTGGGGGTCCAAAAAACCCCTATTATCACCTTTTTACTCTATATAATAGGCTATGGAAGTGCAGATCGCACTTCAATAGCTTATTGATGGGCTTCAGGAGCCCAGCAATGACAGCTCAGGGACCAAAAGTGATGCAATACGCGTCGCTCCGGTCCCATAAAGACGCCGAACCCGTAGGATGGGCCGGTCTAGCAGCCAGATGGGATCGAGGATTGGGTGAGTATTTCTTCTTTATTTGAGCCCCTAAAGAAAAACAAGCAGTTAACCCTTGTAGTGCGGGGGTTGCCCCACTGCAAGGGTTCACTTTTCTAAAACCTGGAGTTCTTCTTTAATGCGTTCAGAGAAATGTTTATTGCCAATATACACTGAGTGGCCAGATTATTATGACCACCCCATCAGTACTT